TCAAATATTGCTCTTAACAAGGTGGTATCCTTGGGTCCGAGTACATGAACCAGAGGCCCTTTTTGGAAGCCAAGAACTGTTTCCTCCATGTCTCGTATTGTGCACTGGAGATGTAGAATGGGCACTGGACAGTCGTGGACAATGAAGGATGTGCAAAAACACTTTGGTGAACTTTCCACTCCATCACAAGTTAGGCAATGCAGCCATAGCAGTCAAAAACATGACAGAGGAACATGGAACTAGCTGAGAAATTCATAAGAACAGGCATTAGGCAAAGGAAACCTATCCTGGGTGCAAAAAATATAATGGCAGCTCATGGCCCTGGAGAAGAAGCAGCAATGGAGGATCTGAGCCCTTGTAAGACCTGGGTGTGAACAGCTGGGCAGTCACATACAGAGAGGGAAGACATGACACCCATTGTCAGAAACCCCCATTTCACAAGTACTGAGATGAAGCTGAATGGTTAAGGAAGGTAATTCATGGTAATACACAGAGGGAGAAAGTCATCCCAAGATGCAAGGAAGGAATTCAACTAAAGGACATCCGGGTCCACTGAATCTTGTCATTACCTGTAGACTTCAGGCCTTCCTGATTGTGTCTGTATTTGGCCACTTGCCACCTGCACACAAAGTCATGATGGGACTTAGCATTTCATCTATGAGCTGTGAAGGAACAGGAAACAGGAAAGGGTTACCAGCTTCAATATCAAGTGAGGGAACAGAGAGATTTAACGAGTTGTTCAAGATCATACAACAAAGACTAGAACCCAGTCCTCCTGACTCCAATCCAATGGACCAAAATGCCTCCTTGGCAGGAGATGAAAGATGGGTATGCTGTGCACAAACTCTTATTTCTATCACCATAAGAATCAAAAAGGCAGAAGACAATGCATCCATTATCAGCTTCATTAGGCACTTCTTTGTCTTGAGGGACGACACCAGACTATCCCAAAATGTTCCTATCCCACTGCTATTAGAAAATCTGCCACTGCCAAGGAGTTGATTTGCGTTGGTGCCTGGAGAATGAGTGAAGACAAGCTCCACTGTGTGCCATAGGAATCCCTGACTGCTCCACAGTAGGTAACTAGTCAGGCAGCTCTAATTTCTGTAACTGTGAGGCTTTTCATAGTGTTATGCACATTGCATTAATTATGCAATATTATAAACCTCAATGCAAACAGAGTTCAGTGCATGGGTATAATTGTATGTAAGTGCTTAATAGATCACCATAAATAAATGATAATTAAACCCATTTGCTTTGAAGCAAATAAAACTAGCTTCCAAATCTTCTACACCAAGAAGCACACAGCTGCTGTAAACTTCCCCCTGCCTTCACATTCCCTCAAACAAGACTTAAACATTTGCCCAAATCAAAACACTTGGAAATGGAAATGCAAAAATTATGGCCCCTGAGACCTAGCCCTAGCTCTGTTCAGTGAGGGCAGAAGCTCCCACAGCCCTCACTTCTAGTTCTGCAGGAATGTGAGGGAAGATACAGAATAGGATGCTAATCCAGACCTGCTGGAGGATGAAGGCACGGGTGGGGAGAGCATTATACAGTGTTAGGCTGCTCATTTATTCAGAGAGATTTTCACGCCCTTCCCAGCTCCCTGAAATAAGAGCAAACCCTTCTCACTGATCACACAGGCAACTCTCTGCACCCCTCTATTTGGGGAGGCCTCTCATAGCAATGGGGAGCAGGTGGATCATCGCCATGAGTGCAAAAAGAAGGGGGTATGGAGTATGGCTATTAGCCTCCTGCTCAGATCAGGTGTCTTCATGGGGGTGTCCGAATCCCAAGACCTCTGGGCTTAGGCCAGCACATAGGATGCTTGCCAATGGATTTGGGAGTATCTGAAGTCCCCCGGTGGGGAAGGATATTAGAGTTGCACTCAGGATGTGGAGCTAATTTGTGTTAGAATTACTGTTCTCTGTATTTCAGAGTCAGTGGTTCGTGGCGCTGAAAACTGGTCAGATTGTTCAACATACAGCAGGGCAACTGTCTTTGGTTAGAAAGCAGGGCGTTAGGGAGGTCACACCCATGATTATTCAGGTTATATGTTAAGAGAAACCAACACAAGTCTTTCGAAAAGCAAAAGTTTCATTGTCACATTTCTGAAATGTAACACTTCAAATTATAGGTGCGAAAAATGGCCAAAATGTAATTAAAGACATGTTAAAGGGGTTGAAAATGCTTGGTTTGGCCCCAAATTATTTTCCCATTTTTTTCATTAAGAAACCTGACACACTTTCATGGACTTGAAACTGTTCCTCTGCCCGCAATTGTACAGCTTAGCCAGCGAACTGAAAAGTTAAGTCTGCACACACCTCTCAAGTTCAGAGGGAGGCCGAAGGGAGTCCTTGGGAGTCCACTAAATAAAGCAACTCCCAAGTTTGTTGATTCTTGCTGGCCTCTTTTTGTATCACTCAACAGTTTTATGCAAAGAGGCAGAGACTGATTCTTCTGTAGAACTGCAGGCAGAGAGGAGTATCAAGGTCCAAAGTGAGCTGGCTCCTTCCAGAGATCCAGTACACTTCACAGGTGAAAATCCTGGCTACAATGCTGGAAAGCCAAAACAGAAAATCTGTAATATCCAGCACACGGGCAATGCTGAGACATGGCTACTGCTCAGAGATTGACTGATCCTCCCTACCACTCAGTGAAATTCTTATCCCGTTCCTCCTCTGTGAAATTTGGGGTCATTTTTAACCCTTGGGAAATAGACCGCTTTTAAGAAAATCAAGGGATCAGGGAGTCATCAGGGTGAACAAGGTCATGAATTTACTTGGCTGAGATTGAAACCCAACCCTTTAGCAAAACACGGGCACCATCTTGCAGAGGCACGAGGGACTGAATCGGAGACCTCCAGAGTTGAACGGGAGTCTGGTTCTCCAGCTAAAAGCTGAAACAAAGTCCTGTTTTTGGTGGATGCTGCACAGAGCCAGGGCATGAACTGTCCCGACCAGCGGCTTGCAAATGGGCCAGAACAGCAGCGAAGGCCACATCAGGTACCGCAGAACCTGTCTCCTGTCTGCGTGAGGCTATGGCTCATTAACAGAGCACTTGGGGAACTCTCCTATCATAGAGACAGAGAAATAAATAGACCCCGAGAAGCAAGTGCTCTTAATACATAGCTATCTGGAAACGCCAGCCTCAGCAGGGGCTACGGCTGCTTTCAAGACTTGGGTTTGTTCTCAGCACCATCTTGTTGAGACAGAAACCCCCCCATCAGCTCCCCAGGGCCTGAGGATGCCGTGTGGGAACTCAGTGAAAGTAGGGCAGCTTTCCCCAAGCGAAGCTCAGTGGAAACAGCGCGCGTACCAACCAGGGTGCAGCATCTCATGAAGGGCAAATGCAGAGCTTCAACCTAACAGAGCAGGAGCCTGGTCCTGGAGGTGACCGGGCAGGAGCCCTTAAGCAGCTGTGATCCTGTAAGTGCCATGAAAGTCAGCAGGAATTACAGAATCAGGTCAGTGAGGGCTGGCAGGGAGCTCAGGAGGTCACATCTAGTCCATCCCCCTGCTCAAAGCAGGACCAGTCCCAACTACATCATCCCAGCCAAGGCTTTGTCTATCTGTATCTTAAACACCTTCAAGGATGGAGAGTCCACCACTTCTCTGGGCAGCCTTCACCACCCTCCTAGTGAGAAAGTTCTTCCTAATATCCGGCCTCAACTTCCCCTGCTGCAGCCTGAGCCCATTGCTCCTTGTCCTGTATCTGCCCCACTGAGAACGGTCCAGCTCCAGCCTCTTTGCAGTCCTGCCTCAGGGAGGTGAAGGCTGCTATTCAGCCCCCCTCGGTCTTCTCTTCTGCAATGGCCCCTTTCCCTCCACCACCCCTCAGACGCTCCCCCACTCGTTTCGGGGTGGAGGTTGCAGTCATGGTGGTCTAAGGCAGCAGCTCCCAACCTGCAGTGCCCGTGCCGCCCGCGGTACACAGACGACCTGTCAGTGGTACGCATTAACAACTGCATTACAGTTACTGCACACGACAGCAGTGTGCTGGAGCTGGAGGTGCTTAAAGGCCGAACTGCAGACGGGGCTGGTGGTACGTGGGGTCGTGTTGTTTTCACGGTGGTGCGCAGTCTGCCGGAGCTGGGGAACCGCTGGTCTGAGCAGGCACGCAGGCAGACCAGGGCCTTTGGGGAAATCCGGTCTTTTATCAGAGCAACTCAGTTGGGAAAATTCTTCTTCGCAAGCTTTCGGGCACAAACGCCTGTTGTCAGGTGTGTCGGGTGTACATGAAGTGAAAGAGGGTGTCCGTTTATAAACGCTGCAAGTGCGAAACCAAAACGTTGCAAGTCAAGGGCTGCCTGCGTGTACCTGGGCTTGAGGCGATGCTGCCCAAAGCCAGGAGGGCCGACCGCCAAATTATTGCTGGGGAATTTTTTTTCATACCCCCATGCCTTCCCTCCCCAGCCTCCGCGGGACAGCCCCAGGGCAGCGCCAGCCGGCCAGGGTGAAGCCCAGGGGTGCGATGCCGGGAGGCTCCCCCCGCCAGGTGAGGCCGGGGGGTGAAGGCCGCAAAGGCCGCAGGTGCGGCGACGCGGCGCGATGCCCGGCTCCCTCAGGCCGGGTGCGGCGCGG